ATATAGGCTCTTGGCTCCTTTAAAAGATGGGATGCTACATCAAATTAGGAAAGGAAGGAATTAACATAGTATTGCCATGTACAGTTCTTTATTAAAAAAAAAGATATTGTAACTAAATCACCGTAAGTCATTATGGTGGAAATGTACAAATACCAAAATGATTATTCCTTTTTATTTGGCATAATAAGTTCACACAGAACTTATCTATTATGAGCTTTCCAATATTCAATTATTTTTGATCTGCAAAAATGACAAGTGCATATGGCTCAACCAAATTGTTACTAAAGCAAAGGTAAATGATTCACTGCCTCATTTTATCTGTAGAAATGAGACAAGGAATAAATGGATACATAGAGTTGAGTATTTGTGGTATATATTTGTCAAATAGATGTATATGGAAAGCTATGTAAAGAAACATTTTAGGGGAGGACATAAATCGTCAGTAGCATTTGCTATCTTCAAGCTTAGCTACAAATCCAGCAGCTGGTTTCTCCCACTCAGGAGTGATTCAAACCTGAGCCCTATGCAATTCTTCAACTTCAGAACAGGATATCTGTATATATAAAAGCCTAAGTGACCATCGCAACTGAACGGACGACCCAACAGGCTTCGTGGAGAGACCAGGCTGGCAGGGGACTTAGTGAGGGGCGACCAAACGACCAAACAGCAGGCAACGTGGGGTGACCAGGCTTGCAGAGGGGGGAGTTGGGGGTGACCAGGTGGCAGGGGGCGGGCAGTGAGGAGTGACCAGGCTGGGGGGGGGGCAGTTAGGGTGAGCAGGCCAACTGTGTGGGGTAGTTGGGGGTGATCAGGCCAGCAGGGGGAGGGGGGGCAGTTGGGGGCAACTAGGCCAGCAGGGGGGCAGTTGGGGGTGACCAGGCCAGCATGGGAGGCAGTTAGGGGTGATCAGGCAGTCAGGCAGGTGAGCAGTTATGAGTCAGTGGTCCCGGATTGTGAGATTGTTGGTGTAGGTCTGATCCTGGGGATCGGGCCTAAACCGGCAGTCAGACATCCCCCAAGGGGTACCAGATTGGAGAGGGTGCAGGCTGGGCTGAGGGTATCCCCCTCCCCCCCTTGCCTGCACGAATTTCATGCACTGGGCCTCTAGTTAGTTTATGCTTCCTAATTGATATTGTGTCCATTTTGAAACTTCATTGAGTTGTTATTCTGCTTGCTATATTTTTGGCTTTTTTTTTTCTTGGCCCTAGGAATTATTTCTGATGCAGGTAACTCAGAAGATTAATGAGACTTTTTTTTCTTTTTAAAAAATATATGTTTATATTGATTTCAGAGAGAAAGGGAAAGGGAGAGAGAGATAGAAACATCAATGATGAAAGAGAATCATTGATTGGCTGCCTCCTGCACACCCTCTACTATGAATTGAGCCTGCAATCTGGGCATGTTCAGAATTGAACCAGGACCCTTCAGTCTGCAGGCTGATGCTCTATCCACTGAGCCAAACCAGCTAGGGCAATGGGACGTTTCTTAAATGTTATATAAGTAGCTGAGTTACTAACTTAAAGATGATAAAAATTGCTTTTTTCTCAAATAAGCTCTTGATTTAATTTATATTTTAAAGGTTTTCTTCTGGAACATTAACATATCTTGAGGAATTTACTAACTATAGCTTTTCAGGTAGTATTGTTAGCAATTAATGAAGTAAGATTTTGCTGATATCTTTAGAGACTAACTATTAAGCAACAATGTTCATCAGATTATGAAGCTTCACACCTTTCTATTTTAAGAAGCTATTTCATCTCAACAGAATATCCCACTTCCATTGGTTAATGTTAGAAATTCAGAATCATTAGCTAAAGTAATTGTTTCAGGTGATTGTTCTTTAGAATGTTATAAGCTGTAATAGAATTACTGAATTGAGAGCAATTAATTGGATGTATTTCGAATATATTCTAACCAAATGCTATACCTGTCATCTTTTTTTTAAAAAAAATCTTCATTGTTGAAAATAGATCCTCCTCCCACGTAATTAACCTCTTCCAGCCTGCTCCTGATCCCCCACCCCCACCCCTCACCACCCCATTGTCTGTGTCCACGGGTTATTATGCCTGTCATTCTTTTTTAAAAAATATATTTTTATTGATTTCAGAGAGGAAGGGAGAGGGAAAGAAAGATAGAAACATCAATGATGAGAGAGAATCATTGATTGGCTGCCTCCTGCATGCTCCCTCATTGGGGATCAAGCCTGCCACCCAGGCATGTGCCCTTGACCAGAATTGAACCTGGAACCCTTCAGTCTGCAGGCCGACGCTCTATCCACTGAGCCAAACAGGCTAGAGCTATGCCTGTCATTCTTGACGACCACTTAAAAACTACCAAAAGAAAACTGTTGCTGAATTTTAGTGCCATCAAAACAAACCATCTAGAAAAGTTTTGAAATGCCTCAAATCTATATAGTTTGTACCACCTGTGAATCTGAAAATTTATTTAAGTATTATCCGTTTAAGTATTATCCCAGTGCCCCATAGGTTTAAGGAAGAAAGTGAAAGTTTGAAATACTTTTTCTAAGTTTTTAACACATAAACCACAGAGGTAGGAATAGAATGTATGTCTAGGAGTCATGTGTTAGACCGGGAGTTGAAAATTCAAATACCTTCACTAGAACCACAGAGTGCTCAGATGAGTGGAGACTGCACAGTCTCAGGATTGGAAAAAGAGAAAGGGCTGAGGAATGTGGAGAACTTAAAGGCAAATAGCCTTTTGAAAGGACTAGCCATCATCTAGCTCCCAGGTTGTTGTCCTATGGAAATATGGTTCCAGTAAAACCAGATACTGTGATTTTCAAATGCAGATGTGTAGAATTTTACATAATATAATCACCTATTTAAATATTGGTAATTAATTCAAATTTTAATCTTTGTGGATCAAATAAAACACATCAGTGGCCTGTTAGGAAGCAACCTCCGGATGAGATTCTAACATCCTCCGTAGATATATAAATGCTATTAAAAATGAAGGATGTTGACATGCTGTCCTTCATTAATATTTATGACCACTCACAGGAAATATTTATAAGAAAACTAGGATATTTCATTAATCAACAGATAGTAGGTTCCCAGTAGGTTGCCACAACATATTCATTACTAAGAATATATTACTTCAGTATGTAATGAATATTCATATTCATTAAAAAGGATAGATGTATTCACTGCATTTCTCTAGTTTATAAACAGGTTAGTTGAGGCAAAAATAGAATTTCCCGATGGGGTTGTAAATTATTGGTAATAAAATATTAAGAAAGGATCAGAGTTGTATATAAGGGATGATTCTATAAAAGATGAAGGTAGAATAAGAATACTTTTCAAGTTATATATAGCATCATATATTGTTTATTATACAAAATGGAGGAGAGGGTAGACAGTATAAAGAAGATAAAATGTGAATATTTTATTATTCTAGATTGTAACTTTCAAATTGAAATGTTATGTTTGACAAAGTTGAAATGAAAATTTTATATAGATGTAGGTTAAGAAAAAAAACCATGGAGAAATATACAGATGCTATGAAATAATTTGTAGTTCCCTGGAGGGTCAGAAGAGAAATTTACAGAATCATGGAGCACAATGTGTCATGTAGCTTCTCCAGACAACACACAGCATCTCTTCAGTGGATAAAGCAAAGGGCAAGGAGTAAGGGCCCATTTCTGTCTCTGTCATTTGTTTCTCTGGGACCAGAGGAACATAGTGTCATCTTTTTGCACTTAGGTCACCGCAGATGTTAAAAAAAAGACAATGAGTTTCCCAGAGGCATTTTGTGCATCAGTTTTGACATTTCTAAACCACTTGCAGAATTTTAAAATTAAGGCTCCCACAAAGGCAGGGGTTGCTATTCTCTCTCCATAATTTACAGATTTTTAATGAAGACTTGAGCTGGCCCTCCACCAGTCAGATGACTATTGGAATATTCTTGTTTGCTTTACATCTCTGCTCATCTCCAAACCCAGCATGTTCATTTCTAAGCAATGTTCTTTTTATACACTTTTTCTTTGCATTTAATTCAAATAAAAAAGCAGCTATAGACAGATTCATTATTTAAATCGCAGTCTCTATACTCTCATTTGGAAATTGAGGCATCCAGATATGTCAGGCTGCAGTTGGGTAAAAAGATGAATACGTTCCGTGCAACAATCCAGGGGCCCAGCCATCAAGCATGAATTACATGAAGTTCATTTTTCTTTGCATCCTCTACAAGATTTCCTCCACTAGCTTTGAGTGAGATGCTAATTTTATATTTTACTCATATAATTATTTATTCTTTAGAAAAATATAACATAAATGAGGAACTTGTGGATTAAATTTATAGGTAAAAGTATACTTACCTCTGTCTTAGAGTTTGGTGAACATTATGGAAAATACTTTTTCTATATACTCTAATTATATGTGAACCTCCACACCAAATCTCCAAGTAAACATAAACACAGAAGAGTCCACATCTTATAAAAAAAATCATTATCTTCTATTAGCTTAATGCCTGACTTTCAAGAAATTCGATAAGTTCATTCTATTTAATGTAATCTATTATATAACCTTCTTGGGAATCGACCTCAGTAAATAAAATGTTGATTTTAATTTAATAAAATCATTAATTCCCATTAATTCATTTACATTGAATTACAAGAATATTTTGCATATGTATATATGCACACACACATACGTACACACACACACACACACACATATGCACACATATATACATATCCACACAGGCACATATACGAATAAACATTCATACACACACTATTTTTTTTCTTAGTTTGAAGAGTGATGTAAAAATCAGAGGCTCTGGAATATAAAAAACAGAGAAGAAGGAAGCATTATCTGCAAACACTTGGCTGCATTTTACACACTGACTCCCACACGAGGCATGTACTCTTCATGGATATTAGCATATTAGCAAAATCTTACTGGGGAAACAAATGGATTTTTAAAACAAGCCAGCTTTACAAGTTCTCTCGTCCTAAACAACTCCTACAAATACTGTACCTTCCGGAGGGGTTTGAGCTTGGTCTCCATTATGAAGTCATACTTGCAGAGCTCACAGCAGCGCGTGTCTGAGCTCTTGATCCACTGATGGAGGCAGGACTGGTGGACAAAGCGCAGGGTGCCCGTGCAGCGACAGGGTGTGATGAGGGGGCTCTCTTCATCCCCTTCGCAGTGACAGATCCTGGGGAAGGACACAGCAGCCAGGGTGAAATCTCCCACCAATGGATTTCCTCCCTCGTTCATCCCAGGTTGTATTAGGAACTGCACCCTAAGCTTTAGAAGGCATGGCCATTTCATTCCAACTTGATGCTAGAACTGCATCTATGACCGATATTAATTTTCTTTCATTTGCACAGTCATTGGTTGACTCTTAAGTCATGTTAGGAGGCATTAACACTGCTACGCTTCTACACTAAAGCCAATTTTAACAGCACAACTATTGAGCTGTGTCCCAGCTTAATCTGTTTAACAGGTCAGTATCTATGGCATATGCTTTCAAACATAAAAGTTCTAAATTCGAAGTCTTCTAAGGAATGTTGTAATCTGATAATTTCATTCTTTTATTTTGATGATAGATTTACAGGGGCATGGTGTATCATTTAGACATAGGGTATCCTACCAATGAGGAAGAATTCTGAAAAATGTAACATATTACCAAATAATAAAGTGAATATATAATGTCCCACCTAGGAAATCTATCTATATATATAAAAGCAATCGTTCAACTGTTCAACCGTTAGACAGTTCGATCATTCGATCAGTAGCTATGACACACACTGACCACCAGGAGGCAGACGCTCAATGCACAGCCAATAGAAACATGGAACAGACAGATGAATCTCAGAGAGAAGGGGGGAGAGGAGAGGGTGAGAGGAGATTAACCAAACATCTTACATGTATACTAGAGGCCTAGTGCACGGATTCATGCATCAGTAGGGTCCCTTGGCCTGGCCTGCAGGGATAGGGCCAAAACCAGCAGTCAGACATCCCCCGAGGGGTCCCAGATTGCAAGAGGGCACAGGCCAGGCCGAGGGACCCCACCGGTATACGAATCCGTGCACTGGGCCTCTAGTATTAGAAATATTTCCCTAGAAAGATGCACACAAATTTGGTCACAATGAATGGCCTAAACTGTCATAACCATCATTGTTTAAAAGTTACAAAAATTACTGGTTGCATAAAGTTCAAGTAAATCCTATTGTTTCAAAATGTTAATTACTACATCTTCCAAGGAATTCAGATTTCAACTAGTTCACTGAATTACCATGACTCTTAGAGCCATAGATTCACAGTGTATGAAATAATTATTCTCATCTTCAAATTTTAAGACGTAATTAGTTAACCTGAATGTGGTGAATTTAAGTCCTAGTCCTTCAATAAATTCTTATGATTTAACTAGAGGCCTGATGCACACAATTCGTGCATTCGAGGAGCCCCTCAGTCCCGGGGAGTCCTTCAGTCTGGCCTGCATCGTCCGGGATCCCTCGCTCCTTACTGCCCGGCGGCCTGCAGTGGAGGCGGGAGAGGCTCCTGCCACCGCTGCTGCGCTCTCCAGCCTTGAGCCTGGCTTCTGGCTGAGCGGAGCTCCCCCTGTGGGAGCACAATGACCACCAAGGGGCAGCTCCTGTGTTGAGCATCTGCCCCTGGTGGTCAGTGCGAGTCAGCCACGGGTCTTTCCTTCGTTCAGTCGATTTGCATATTAGGGTTTTATTATATAGGATCAGCTGTTAAAGTTGATAATACCATTAATTAGAAATATTTGCTTGAAATCTGTTCAGAAGCAGGAATGGAGCATTGAAAAATATATCTGTATAGTTACTTTTAGAGTTCAGCGACAGTGGTGCCCTGGAAGAATGTTTAAATTGCTGCTACTGCTCTTTCCTTTTCAGTCTGTGTGCTCCGTTCTCCAGAAGCAGGCGTTTTAAAGAGTGGAGTTTTAAAATACACTTCTATCTACCTCAGCTGCCTCCCCAGGGGACATGAAATGGCTGCACAGCTTGTTACTGCAGCAAGATACAGGAATTGAAACCCAGCCCTTCCCTAACCTCAAAATAAAGAAGTATGACACAGGGCAGCAGTACTTGAATCTCCGTTTCTTAAGCAAAAATAAAGCGAGCAAAAGCAAACACTGACTTCTAGAGCCCTAGGGGTGGGGGCGGTGGGATGAGAGCATCGTCCACCTTCTCCTGGACCGAGTTAGGAAGGAACAGTGTTGGTTGTGGCAGCACGAACAAATGGCTGATGTGGTGGGGACAAACTGAACATTATCCGAGAACCAATTTTTAATCTAAAAGCCTGAAATACCTCCTCTTTCCAGAGGTGTAGGTTGTAGGGATCAAGGCTTAGTCTACACCGTATCACACCCATTCCCAACTGCGTGTTGGTTGCACCATCAGGCTCAGTAGAAGACTGCTGAGCAAAGGAACTGTTCCGTCAACACTGACTTATTATAAAAGCAACCAGTGAAAGCAAATCGGGTTTCTGTAGCACTTCATTTTGTTGTGATGCTTATCCCTGGAGCCTTTGAAACTTAATGAATTATAGGGCAAGAGAGGTTGATATTTCTTAAGTCCTCGAAACTCTTCTCTCCCTGCTGTTACACAAAGATACTCCCTTAGGTCAGGGGTCAGCAAACTATGGTCTAGTTCTTCCTGCTGCATGTCCTTGTAAGTAAAGTTTTATTGAAACACACCCATGCACACTGTTTATGTAGTGTTTAGAGCTGTGTTTGCACTATACCTGCAGAATTGAGAGTTGTTGCAGGGACCATATGGTTTGCAAAGACTAACGTATTTACTATCCATCCCTTTACAGAACATGTCTGCTTACTTCCACCTTAAACATGGGCGTTGATGAGTTAAAGACAATGCATGAGTATTTTGAACAATAATAAAAATCCGGCTTACGAAAAATTACCTCAACTTCTGCAAGGAACAGAAGTTGAAGTAAAGGTTACGTAGAGAAGCACACAATAAAAGTGAAAGTCCCTCCTGACCTGGCATGGGAGCTGCTGAACCATGAACAGTCTGCAGGGACAGGGAGCACAGTTTCTCATTTGAAAAATAAAAACTAGCAGTTAATGCCATCTGATAATTCATCAACAACAAATAATTGTGTAAAAGGAATACGGCTCAGCCATAAGGAAAGATGAAACACTGCCATTTGTGACAACATGGATGGACCTTGAGAATATTATGCTAAGCAAAATAAATCAGACAGAAAAAAAAGCAAGGGCCATATGCTTTCACTCATGCGTGGGATATAAAACTGAAAACAACAAATGAACAAATAAGAAAAAAACTCATAGACACAGACAACAGCAGGGTGGGTAGCAGGGGTGAGTGAGGTGGGGAGGGTAGTAAGTAGTAAAGGGGATCAAATATATGGCAACGGAAGTAGATTTGACTTTGGGTGGTGGACACACAGTGCAATATACAGATGATGTATCACAGAACTGTACACTTAAAACTTACATAATTTTATTAAGCAATGTCACCCCAGTAAATTTAATTTTAAAATGTCAAAAAGAAAATAGGAATGTGTGAAATGCTGCACAGCTGTCAAGATGATTCTGAGGCTCTGATTTTTTATTGACATGAAAACGGTAATTTATTCATAAGCAGATTTAAACAACGACCTTGATGGTGACTGAATTCAAACTGATCTGAACCGTTTACTGACTGTATAGTCCAACTTGCTGTATCTTATAGACTCCTTTAAAAATTTTTTTTGCTGAAACTGTTACCTGAAGTACCACCAGCATTTTTTTTCATAAAATTAAGATTAATTCATTTTCATTCCCATTTCACAAATTTTATTTTTTACATTATTTTAACATTTTGAACTTTTCCCAAATTATCCAAATGATGTTGGATCCCAGGAGACTTTTTAAAACCATGTTGAGATTGTTCTAAATGAATTTAAGAGCTAATTATAAACTTCAGATATCTACTAGAAATAAAAAAATGTAATAATGCCATTACAGAAAGAATTAAACAAATCTGAAATTGATATACTTCATACAAACTACAATTGCTAAATTATAAATGAAAATATAAACATGCTTTTTCCAACAGAATAACTGTGCGCACAAAATGATTTCAACAATGAAACTGCATTGTAAAACATTCATAATTTTAATGCATGTTTACCTTATGGGAAATTATAGTTTACGATTTGAGTGATTCTGTAAAATCATTGGTGATCTCCATTGGTGTCATTTTTTGGCATTTTAGCATATGAACTGGCTGCTTAGAATTTAATCAGCATATGTTGAGACTTTCACATTTTATAACTTGAATAAACTTCTACTTCTATATTATTTCTAGCTTTCTGTGAAGAGCAGACTACAAAATACCATTTCTGAAATTAAATTTTGAAATTTGTGTGTGCGTGTGTGTGCACTTCAAAAGTTCCTCAATGTTAAGTTTTAAGAAAAGTAGGCTTTTTTTTTGTGGGGGAGAGGGGAGGGATCTTATGTATCTCAAAATGACCTCCACTGCTCCCCACCCCTTCTCTTACCAAGGCTACTTGGTTCTGGTAGCATAATTTTTTTCTGCATAAGTTTTAAAAAATAAATCATCAGTGAAAAAAATATTCATGAAGGCCATAGTGATTATGTAACTTTGGGAATTTCCCCCCCTATTCGTTCCTTTGTCATTGCATTCACTCACATTTTCTTGGTTCTTGCTATATGCAAAGGAAATTCAGATAATAGCATCAGCATGTAGAGTAAATTGAGAGGGAGAGAAAAGAATTTGCAGTCAGGGACCCCACTGGGGCAACTATTACCATCATCTCAGTATTAAGAATCTGGAACACCATGGTGACATTGGGGAGGAGATGGGACACTTGGCCTGCAGAGCGTGCAGAGGTCCCGAGGACCTTGCTGGGTTTCCGTGACTGGCTGTGGCAGCCTGCACATTTGTAATATGGGCCTCCTGAAGGCAGTCACCATCTGCAATCTGCAGATGGCATCTCACATGCAGGCCTGTCAACTCCCTCTTCCCATGTTCTGTGCCGCATTTCCAACTCTCTTTTGGCAAATCTTTCTGGTATATCCCCTCACATCCTTACCTACATTTTTCTCCATACTTCTCTCTAACTAACTAACTAATCTTTAAGTACAGTAATTATGGATACTGCTATGTTTGTAATGGTTTCATTTGGATATTTTTCTTT